CCCTCCTGCATCAGTCAAGACTAGATTACATGTGTCAGAAACCTAACTTAAACTGGCTTCAAAAATAATTCAAGATGGTGGGTGTGACACATGTTTATTGGCTCAGGCAACCAGACAGACTAGGAATAGACTGAGCTTCAAGTAGAGCTGGACCTAAGGGTCAGACTGTATCTTCAGGAATCTGCTGAAGTTGGCTTCATCCTCAGGCAGGCTCCTCCCAAGTGATGACGAGATGGCCCCCAGCAGCCCGCCAACTTCAAAGAAAACAGAACTCATCTTTCTCAAGGGTTGGAACAAAAGTCCCAGGGCTGACTTAGGTAGCTGTGATTGGCCCAGCACAGTTCTCAACCAGTCCCCACGGTTAATGAATGTCACCTCTTGCAGTATCTTAAGGGACTGTGCTGAGGTGGGTAAGGACGTTCCCAGGAGAAAAGGCCAGGTGCTCTGGTGGGAAGACAGGGAAATCAGTATCGGCAAAAAATAACCAAAGTCCACTGCTCACGTGTTAGTTTTCATTTATGTATGTTTTCTCTCCACCTAACCCTCAGCCCACAGAGGATGGGGCCCTGCCTGTGTACCCCCATGGCCTCTAACAATACCGAGCCCCTTGTGTTAAATACAGCATTTCTCCATTTCCAAAGAGCTTTCACATTTCGATTTTTTAGTTGTCAATACTATCTTGTAACAACTTTGTGCAGGAATAATTTGTGCAGGCATGGGTAATGGGTGTTATCCCTTGAGTGTCCTAGTGGTATCCAGGGCCACTAGAGCTAAGCACCTCTCACTTCCTGCTGCCACCTCAGTTTTGCCAAATTCGTCATCAATGTGTGATTTTCTGTGTGTCCTGTGACTTGAGACATAGGTTAGAAACATAGCCCCATAGTTTATAAAGTGGGTTCCAAGCCTCGGTATCATCAGCTTCTGACACTGCCACACTAAGCAGGTGCTGTTAGCCCAATATACAGCTGGAAAAACTGGTGCTCAGAGGGAGAACATGTGGCCCAGGCCCTAATTGGTGGAAGCGGCATGAAAGCTCAGCCTGTGAGAAATATTCGCAAGAGGGCTTAAGACGGGCAGGTCTCTGTGATTTCTGACAAAAGTCAGGGTTTAAAAATTACTTTAGCAAAATAGCCAGCCCTGTGGCTCTCTGAATTGAGTAGGAAGTAAGAATCCTTAAGTGCTCGAAATAACAGTGTCTCCTGAGATGAGCAGAGGAGTAACGCTTACCTGTACTTGTTCAGTTAATCCTTTGCACAACTTCCAGAGGTGGGGGCTATTAGACCCATTTTATTGAAGAGGAAGCTGAGGCCCAGAGGGAGCAAGTAACCTAGCCAAAGTCATACAGCTGGTGAGTGGCAAAGCTGAGATTCAGAGCCAGTTCTTTCTGGCCATGAACCTTGTGATTGGCTTCCCATGTCCTAGAGAAGGAAAGGCCCCCTTGGTGTTAACGCCTGCCTCCTCTGTCCCTCCCTGCAGGTCTACATCATTCGGGTCACGTGGTCCAGCGGCTCCACCGAGGCCATTTACCGGCGCTACAGCAAGTTCTTTGACCTCCAGGTAAGGACTTAGGGTCTCCAGTGAGCTTCTGGGTAGGAATTGGACCCATTTTCCATTTTGACTTCAGAGCCCAGATCCTCACCCATAGTGGACACAGTGTTCTTTTTTATTTCCTAGACTTAAAATGATGTCATGTCCTCACTTCAGAAGCACATATGCTAAAATTGGAATGATACAGAGAAATTTAGCACATCCCCATGTGCAAGAATGACAGGCAAATTTGTGGAACATTCCATGCTTTTTTAAAAAAAGATGTCTACCACTCTGGGAATATAAGTAATGTGGTTTTTTGTTTTATGCTTTGGTATTGAATATTTTCCAAATAAAAGAAAGGCTCCTTGCTGACTGATCTGGAATGGAGGGCAGTGTGGAAATTCTGTATTTCTGTATGCCTTTAGAGTACAGATCTTGACCTTGTATCCTGAACAGTCATGGTGTTTGCTGGTGAGCTCAGCTGAGTGTGTTCAGACCTTGTGGGATCTAGTTTAGCTCTGTGGACAGACCCACATCTCTTGCCTCATCTTGGCCTCCTCTCTCTGAAAGGCCTCATGCTCGGTTCCTAAAATGTCTGTGTCCCTTTGAAGGCACCATGCTCACCCTCTCCCCAGAGGCCTTTGCATTTGCTGCTCCTCACTTGGAGCACAGTCCTCTGCCCTCCTAACCCACTCATTGGCTTGGTTAGCTCCTGCTGCCCTTGAGGTCTCTCATCTTCTGAGAAACCTGGTCTGACTTGGTGCCTGGCCAGGGAGGGCCACCTATTCTGCACCGCCACAGCTCCATGCATCCTTCTTGCCTCACTCTGTATTACAGTTTTCTGGTCATCTGTCTCCTGCTCTAGACTGACTCTCATGGGCAGGAACCATGTCGTCCTCATCCTCTCTGTAATGTTTTACTCAAGGACACCATGTGTCCAGCCAGTGTTTGGTGAATGAATAAATGAATGGATACACAGTTACCATGAGCACCACCAGCCTCACAGGGAGCCAGGCAAATGGTGGACAGGTCCATGTAAGCCTGTCTCCATTAGGGTAAAAGAACTCTAGTCCATGGGTTAGTAGCTTCAACTTGACCTCACCAAAGGCAGGCAGCTCACAGCAAGTGTATCTGTATGAGAAGTCACAGTGCCTCAAGTTGTGACATAACAAAATTCTTTAGAAAACGTAGGCCTCAGGAGGAGATGGGAACTTGCCTGTCTTCCTGAACCCATGGGTCTTCTCTGCCATGTATAGTAAGGGGTACATGTCACCTCTCAGGTCAGTGCAAAGCCCCATCCTGTGATGACTGTCCTCCTTTCCTTTTCATCAGTTGGGACTCTGCAGGTATAAGTGAAAGAAACCAAACTCCAACAGGCTTAAGTAAAGAGGGATTTTTTTTTTTGGCTGGTGTAACTGAAGATCCAGAGAGAAGAAACCTTGCAGACTTGAGGCACAGCTCAACCCAGGGTTTTCACAATATCACCTTGCCCCACTCCTTCCTCTCATTCTGCATTCCTATTTCCATGGTATTGGCTTTATTCTTAGATCCCATGTGGTTGGAAAATGCTTGGAGCTCATACTCAGCAAGAAAGAGTGAAGGGCCACTTCCCAGAACCCCCAGCAGACACAGCGTCCTCCACATACCATCCCATCTCCTTGTCGCACATGTTCCCTCTGAAGGTCGGGTGGTACCAACCACAGGCATCCTTGGCTGTACGGAGTTGATCTATCCCTGAAAATCTCGAATAGGGAATTTTCGGAGTCTATGTTCCATTATTTTAAAAGGGGTGAGGAGATAATAATTGTGCTCATCACTGGTTTCCCCAATATCACTAAAACAATTTCAAACACCTACATAGCAGACTGCCAAGAGTCATTGCATAACGTAAAGCAATTGAAACACCAGTTCCCTAATTACTTAAAATGCGGTGAACTCATTAGTGATGTTTTTGTGTTCACTATCCAACAATATCATATACAAATACATTTTTCTTTTGATCTGCAGCAAACGTACTGGATGTAAATACATGAAGAAGGTATATGTTAAAGATACTAAGATACCATCTAACATGCACTTGGCAGGGGCAGACATGTGGGCCAGGAAAGGACTGAACCCTGGGGGAAAGGAAGGGAAGATGATAAGGGTAACGCCCAACACCTTTGAACACTATGAGCAGGAGGCACAGTCCTGTCCAAGATTGATGGAGATCCACACCATCGGGGGATTTATGCAGATCCATCAGAGTGGCCTTCAGTTCAGAGAGGGAATGTTGTGTAAACACTTGCACAAGTTGCAAAAGTCAGTCAGTAGACTTTTCACACATAGAGGGTCTGTGTGGAGCTGTTGCTGGGCAGCTGCATCTGAGAGGTCTCTCCCTGTGCTGGTGAAACCTCAACCTGGACGGGGGAGGGTTCCTGACTCTGAACCAGAAAGAATTCTCGAGCAGGTCGGAAGAGTGTAGGTAAGGAAGGAATTTATTAAGGCAAGAGGAAAAATGAATGACAGCAGCCTTGCAGGCAGCTGAGAGCAGGCAAGTGCAGAGGTGCAGAGGGAGGGAGAGGAAGCTTGCTGTATAGGGTCCTCCAGGTGACTGACACCTGCAGGCCCAAATCTGAGCTCTCAGCGGCCCTTCCCCATTTTGCAGGGGCAAAATGGAGACTTGGAAATAGAATGAAATAGCAAAAAACAAACGCAGTAAGTAGAGCAGTGAGAAAGCTTTATTTAAAGGTACACACTCAGAGAAAAAGTGCAGGCGTCCTCAGAGAGGAGGCATGCTAAAAGGCTGGGAGTTCCCACTTTTAATGGTTTTTCAAAGGGCCAGGGGCTATAGACTTGTAAAGATGGTCTGAAAGTGCTTGTCTGAGTTGAAATACATTAAGTCTCTTCTATTATCAGTCCTCCAGGTAATTCTGCAAAATTAATACAGAAAATTAGTCAGTTCCTCTCCAGGATAGCAGCTTCCCTCTGGGAACCTATCAGTCAAGACCACCTGCCCTGCCCCCAGAGTGAGCTGAGTTATTGTCTGTTTGCTAAGTATATATTAGGAATCTTGCCTTCTAACTTCCTGATTTTTAAAATGGAATCTTAGCTTTAAGATGGAATTCTTCCTGTTCTTACTATACTGTTTGTATCTAAGCATTGTTCATCACAGGCAGGAAAAGTTAACTACGATGATTGCCCCAGGTCCCTGCCCTACCTCAGAGAGGACTTCTGGTATTTTGCTCTCAGTACAAGTGGCCACCTGACATCTCCAAGGAGAAGGGGAGCAAAGAACAATGGCAGATATGATCACTATCCTAGGATTTATTGACCTCCACAGAGCAAAGACCCACCCAGCTAGCCTAGGCAGGGAGAGAGGCAGGGGCAGAAGATAGCTGTGCCCTATGGAACCCAGAGCAGAAAATGCAGCCAGCCTCACAGGGGCCCAAACTGCCAACTGAATGACCCTCGGAGGCCCAGCAGCTCCCTAGCCATCTGTCATTGTGGCCACAGGACTTGTCTCCCACCAAGCCTGCTTTCTTTTCCCACTAGCCTCTCTGGGCCAGCTTCCTCTACTTGCCAGTCGGCCACAGCTCTCAAACCACACCTTCAGCGCCCGTCTGAAGCATCCTTCCCTGCTGTCAGTGCTCTGGAGTTTCCACGTGCTGATCCCATCCCCAGGAGAGAGAGAATCTGATCATCCCAAGGGCCAGGGTCAGGGGCCACCCCATGCCTGTCAGCTGGAGCCGGGAGGTGGGGGGCATTGGTGCAGCAGCATCTAGAGGAGTAGGTTCAATGGGAAGTGGCGGAAGCCCAGAAGCATATACGGGAAAGTGAATCACGGGGCCATTTTGCAGTATGTGGGCCCAGCATGCATGAGGGACTCAACGGTGTTGTGGAGCTCCCTATTCCAGCAGTCTAGGACTTTTGACCTTGACTTCGTGGGTCAGACAGACCTGGATTCAAACCTCAGCTTTGCCTCTTCAGGTCACAGCTTGCTGCCAGCTTTGTGTGTTTTTGAGACTCAGTTTCCCCATCTGCATATTACAAGTGAAAGCATTTTCCTCCTGTGTTTATTGTGACAGTTAAATAAGATGTGCCTTGCTCGGTAGGTAAGCACATTAGCTGTCATCCGCTGTCCCTCCACTCAGATGGAACTTGTCTGAGGTGACATCATTGGGTAATGCTTGAGCCAGGGCTTAATCACAGGTCTCCCTGGCCCAAAGCCTGTACTTCCTCCATTCTCCTCTTCTGACTTAACTTTCTTATTTCCACCAGAACTTAAAATTAGGTTTTCTTTCCCTGGTCAGCATAATTGGTAATAATTGGGGGTTTGCTGTAACATAAATAGCTGCCTCAGACTCCCCTCCCATGACAAAGTCATCTAAGCTCAGGGCTTAAGCCAGCTTTAAAGAGTCCCAGATGGGCAGCAGGAGTGGGGAACTGAAGGGATTCCAGAGGGTCCTGCTATCCCTGAAACAGCCTGCATCCACCCGCATATCCCAGAGGGGGAATTTGGAAGAGGTCAGGGCAGGACCCCACCAGCCAAAGGGAGCTGTTCTCAAGGACCAGGCGAGAGGCCAGTGCACATGAGGCTGTGACACCCTGAAGTTAGATGATGTCATGAGTCCACCCTCCCCTTCCTCCTGTCTGGCGGGCAGCCTTGATTTTTTCAGAAGTAACTTGGCACAAAGAGTATGGGGAGGGCTGAGCTTTCATGGAGGAACATCTAGGCCAATGTGGTGTAATGGAAAAAGCAGAAGACTCAGTCAGGAGACTTGGGGCCCAGCCACCTGTGCTGTGTGGCCTAGGGCACACCCCTTAACCCCTCTGTGCCTGATTGTCCTCATCAGTAACATAGGATGATAACAGTAAAAACAGCTAGCATTTCCAGAGCACAGACTGTAAGCACCTAGATGTAGTGACTCATTTAACCCTATCATCAAGCTTATTAAATTATACCATTGAAGAAACCCAGGCTCAGAGAGGGTAAGTTGTTGGCCCAAGGCCACACAGCTAGTGAATGTCAGAACTCATATTGAAAACTGGGCAGGTGATACCAGATCCTACACTCTTAGCCACTTTGCTATCTAGTGCTCTTCTACCTACTGGCCATTTCCCAAAGTTCACAAGGAGTTAAAAGTAATGATGTGTGTCCAGCAGAGGCAAATCCATAGAGGCAGAAAGCAGATTAGTTGTCGGCAGGAATGGGGAGAGCAGGGAGAGGAGACTATTAATGAATACTGGGTATCTTTTGGGTCATGGTTAGATAATGGTCGTGGTTGCA